GAGAAAGGAAGGGAGCAAAATGAATAGCAGAATGGCTTTAAGAAGAGGAAAAGGGGGGAGGCAGAACAAGCAAAAGATGGGCAAGAGGTAGAACAGAGTAGCCTGGGAAGAAGCCTGAACACAACCTGACCAAATGCCACTGTTGGATGCTTTGTATTTTCTATGTAGTTGATGCAGTTATCTCAGCCTTCTGTCCTGGTTTTGGCTATTTTTTCTTCTTAGTAGCTAGAATAGTGCTGTGTTTTGGATTCAGTATGGGATTTGGTATGAGAATGTTGATACTGATGTTTTTAATTGTCACTAAGAAATCAAGGACTTTTCAACTTTCCATGTCCTGCCTATACGCAGGTGCATGAGAAGCCAGCAGCGAGCACGGCCAGAGCACCGGACCCACATTTGCCAATGGAATATTCCATATCATGTAACGTCATGCTCAGTATATAGATGAGGGTTGATTGGGAAGCTCACTCTCACTTCTGGGATTGCAGTTTCAGGATTCTCCCTCCTCTGGGATGACTACGCAGGAACAGGCTGGGCATTGGTCGGTGGGTGGTGAGCAATCACATTGTACATCACCATTTGTATATTCTATTATTACTATCATTGTTATTTTATTTAAATTATGAAATTGTTTTTATCTCAACCTACTAGTCTCCTTATCTTTACACCTCCAATTCTCTTCTCCATCCCCCAGGACTGGGAGGGTGAGCGGGCGGCTGTGTGGTGTTTGGCTGCCAGCCGGCTTTAAACCACAACACCATCTTAGCCAAGTCACACCTCATGTCCTCAGCTGTTCAGTTCCTAAGTAAACATTTTTTTAAGCCTCATTATTCCTATCAAAATTACTTCATCCTAATATAACTCTATTGTACCATAACCATTTTAGCTACAAGTATGAAGGAAGAAAAATGTTCAGTGAGAGCACAAGGACCCACATTTGAGATTTCCCTGGAAAAACATGCGGCAACTTTCTTACCCTCTGGAGCAGCTCACTCTCTAGCAGCAGGGGCCAATACAGAGATGATCATTTTTTTTCCTAAAGAAATGCAAAATACTGCAATAAGGAGACAGGGGCTTAAAAAACTTTTTCCTTGATACAGGGTGACTCTGACCTAAAAATTAACAGGCCTTGTATGGATGCAGTAGCTTTTTCACAAGAAAAGAACAGCAAGTGGACTGTTGTCACTAGCCCTATCACTGGTTTGGTTTTGTCACGGCACTACAAGAGTAGCAGGCTCTATGTTATGTATAGGAGCAAGTGCAGAATTAAAGATGGCACGTTCTTTTCACAAACCACCTGTTTTAAAACAGACATATATAGCAATACAGGAGCCTAGGGAAACAGGGCAGTACTAGTTAGCATCTTATCAACAGCTAAGGAGTTTTTTAATAGGCATTACAGTAAACAGAGTGGCAAAAGTTAGGTTGTCCTGGACGTCACCTTCCACACCTACTTCTGCACCCGTGCCTGGACTTGAGAAGACAAGATACAAGGCTTAGGAAACCAGCAACAGAAAAGAATTATAGCTGAATCTCCCAAATTAAGATTTTTCCAAACCTGCAGATATAGCAGGGAAAGGCAGAGCCTCCTGTCCAGAGTTCAAAAGAAAGAAAAAAGAAAAGCAGATCTGAGGGAGAAAAGGACTCAAGGATTATTTCTTCCTTCATATAGGAAACCTAATAACTCCTTCCTAAACGAGAGGTTTCCTATATCATTAATCATCACCTTATGCTGTACAAAAACACTTGGAAACTGTCCATCATACCACTCTTTCCACAATGCTTGAGGTAGCAAAACTAAATGCAAATACATCCTACTTATATATTTAGCATACATGTATTACATTTTTACTACAAAGCCATCTGTCTTCTCTGAAGCAAGCTGAAGCCAACCCACTTTCCTGAAATAGGCCTTTTAAGAAAGAAGGGTCAAGTGAACAACAGCAGATTAGTTAGGACTGGGAGGTATTTACCTCCCAATTCAGATAAAACGCAGGCTGTTGTTTGTTCTGCACATAAGAGGATCACTTAGACAAATGTTTTCTGAAGAGCTATGACTCCAGGGCAGGAGTAGACTTCCAAGAGGGATTCTTCAGGGAGACCAGGAACAAGGATAGCTCTATAGCTGAGAAAGGTGTACTGGAATTCTTAAACATTAGAACAAATGAACCTTAAAAAGAGGCAGGTTGGATGTGGCAGGTGTGAAAAAAAAACCTTTTCCATGGCAAAGCTAAAAACTGAGGAGAGGCATGTCTCAAGAGTCTATGTGTTCTCAACAGGGGTCAGATTCCCCAGGTTTGTTCCGCATTTACCTCATCCTGTGGTTTACTGTCTTCTCATTTAACTTGCTGGAGAATTAAGATGCTTTTCTCCAGTTTGGTGGGGGTTGCACTTCCCTTAGTAGAGAGCAAAATTCTGTCAGTGATATGCAGCTGGTTGGATTTTCAGGTGAAATGAGAGACTTCTCATTGGTGACAAGAAACTGCTTTTCCCTTCTTAGCAGAGTGTTTGGAAACAGTCATCAGACTTCAGGAGATGTATAAATTAAATCAAGTCTCAACAGAACGTGTATGTCACTTCCTGCATGCTTCTGTTTATGTAGGGTGGAGTAAAAGTTCTGAGGTTTCAGTGAAATGCATACCATTACAAAAATTAGAATGTTTAGTTTTCAACAAAAATAGCTTCTTTGAAGGTACAGGGCAAGTCTGGAGGGAAGCCAGAGGAGAGGTGATACAGGTGACATAAATTACCTGATCCTGAAAGTGTCTCTAGTTAAAGACTTGGGAGGTGTCTCCTTTGTCTGTTTTATGAAAAGGGTTTATTTTGTCTCCCTCATCCTTTTTGGCCGCTTTTTATCCTCTCATTATCCACCAGGACTTGTTGTCAGACATGGTGCTCACCAGCATTGCTCCAGGTGATGTGCTTTGTTTGTCTGCACAAGACCAGAACTATGGTGGTTTCTGACAGTCAGGTTCTAGATTGCCTGTATAGAAGTTCTCAGTAGTTATTATTAGGAAAAAAAAAATCTTCTCTTTTCTCCATTATCTGTAGGGATATTTTTCTGGTAGCACCCTGCTCTGTAGCCTAAACATCACTGTGTACATCTGCCTACTGGTGTATGTCCTACATCGGCGGTGCCCCTTGTACAGAGCCCATCTCTGTGTTTTAGGGTAGAAGTTTCTATTCCAACAGAGCTTCACTCTCAGGAGGGTTGGTTGTTAACTCCGTTCTCTTCATACAAAGTGCTGGTTTGTATGTCCATCTCAGTAGTTAAGAGTATTTCTGATAGATGTGTAGCTTGTGCTTGGTTACATTAGCAGAATGATAGAAGAAAAATTTGACAGACTTCTTTCATCTAAAAAAAGTGATTGATATGGTGAAGGATGTTCTCATTATTTCTACAAAGCTCAATCTCCGTCTGCTGTGTTTTCATGCTAAACAGTGACTCCAGATAAAAAGTAATGTGTGTATATTCCAGTCCGGAGAGTGCATATTAATTATTATTAATATTTTTGTGATTAATATATTACAAATGTAATATTAATTATGAATAACACAACATAGTCATATTATGTTGTGGTTTTTATAGTTAAAGGAATATGCAGCAGCTGGCAAATTTTTTTTTTTTTACTTTTGGCCCTCTGATGGTTTCAAGCTCTGCACAGGGCAACCCCTGTAAGATACCCCCCTTGTAAGATATTAACTGTCAATTTGAACATTTCATTCTGCCAATGGTATCTCTAAATGAAAAGCCATCTGTCCTGTTCACAGGAAAAATCAAAATAAACCGGACTGAAATGGTGGAACATAAGCTGAGAGGCGATGCCTCCAAAACATGTGAAATGTCACTTGCAGGCTTTTATGGAATCTAATCATAAATCGAAATCTGTGGACAGCCAATAAACCAGCAAAAGAGGTCTTGCTCAGAAGGTACTCAACTGTGGTGAAGTTTCACCAGAGGCTAGTATTGAAGTTCCTGGGCCTTTACGCTGGCTACTTGCTTATCTAGAACCACCCTATCTGGGCAGTTCATCTTGCCTACACTTGATTCCTATCCAGAAACTGTCTGCTTCTTCCTCTGTCCCTTAAGAACTTAATGAGTTAGGCAATTTCAGAGCTTGACTAACAGAGCAACTGTTTTCTACAAACTGTAGCTGCCAGTGAAGGCGGGGAGACAATTGGGCCAGTGTTCCCCACCTCTGAGTGCCACAGGCTGCAGTCTGTATGGCACGCACCTAACTTCTTTAATTCAAGGAATACTACTTTGAAGCAAATTAAGAAGTCCAGGATTAAATGTGCTACAGACTGCCAAAAGCCCTGCAACTCTACAGTCTCCCCGTTAAGGCATCTGCCTGAAAGAAGCTCCCAGAACCGATCAGAAATTCAAACCAGGAAACGTTCACCACAAACACAAGTCACAGTTGTAGGAGCTGGCCCTCTGGTGCTCACGGGTGGGTGAAAAGACAAGCAGCACTGCTTAATGCTAGAAACACTCGAACCTCCGAAGAGAGGACGAAGGCGCCTTTCACCCTTGCGAGTTCCAGCAGCACTACGTACTAACACCACGCAGTTCGCTCCCCAGGTGAAGGCCTGGAGGCCGCTCTCCTGCCCTGCCCGCACCCAGCGCCCCAGCCTGGCGAGCCCGCCCGGCTGCCGAGCCCGCCCGGCTGCCTGCCCCGCCGCGGCCACCGGCCCTCGCTGCGGCCTCCGCGGCACCTGACAGCGGGAGCGGCCGCAGAACCCCCCGCCCAGCCCGCCAGAAATGGCTGTTCCCCGCTGGGCGGGGCCGCCGCCTGACGCGGCTCCCCCGCTCCCATTGGCTAAGATCGCCGCTATCCCCTCCCCGTATTGGTCCGCGCCTCCACCTAGCTGTGCTGCGGTTGGCTGCGCCCGACGCCTTTCCCCCCCCCGTCATCGTTAGTCCCGCCCCCCGGGCAGCCCGTGCCGCGGTGGGGCGATCGGGCGATGCGGTGACGTCGGTGCTCGGGGGCACTGCCATTGGCGGCGGCGGGGCGACGGGCGATGTGGCGCGTGCTGCGCCGGGCCGTGCCCGCGGCCCCGCGGGGGCGGTGCTGCCGCCGCCATCGCGCGTGGGGCCGCCGCCAGCCGCTCCTGTCCGCCGCCGGCTGCTGCGGGGGGAACGCCCGGGCCGAGAGGTGAGGGGAGGTGAGGTGAGGGGAGCGGAGCGGCGACCGGCCGCCCCCGCGGAGGGGAAGGGGCCTGCGGGGGGAGCGGAGCGGAGCGCACCCACGGCGGGCTGAGGCAGCGGGGCTGGGGCCGCCAGCACGGGGTCTGGGGGTGTTCTGGAACAGTCTCGGGCTGCGCGTCATGGCCAACGAAGCCTTGCTGCTTAGCTCTTATTGATGGGGGCGAAAAAAAAAAAAAAAAAACAAACCCCAAAATACTCGTACACATGGTGTCCGGCATTGTAAGTGTAACGCAGCGGCAACGCGCGGAACTGAGGGGCCGTGGGGTTTGGCGGGGTGGAATGTGCGGCTGGATTTCCTATACTGCCTGTCTAAGTGTTCGGTTTGGCGCGGCTGTCCTGCAGCAGCGTCTGCGTGGGCTGTCAGAGAAACAAGAAATCTCTGAAGCACCTACCGAACGTTGCATGTGATTCGTACTGTGGATATTAAATTTCAGAAATGTAAAAGCAGGTGAATCCCCCCCCCCCCCCCCCCAAATACAATCGGTGCGCAATTTACAGCATCTCGGAAAACCTAGCCAGTGGGTTATTTCTCACACTGCTCAGAACCTGAGAGATGTTAGTATTGCTGAATGACTCTCCCCTTTGTTGTTCTTGTCAGCAGAACGTGTGCTACCATCACAATGCCTGAGGTAAACACAGATCACCTGGACGAGCAGCAGGTGCAGCTCTTGGCAGAGATGTGCATCCTTATCGATGAAGATGATAAGAAGATTGGAGCAGATACCAAGAAAAACTGTCACTTGAATGAAAACATTGATAAAGGTGCGTCTTGCTTACCTTCTAATTGAACCATTAAGTTGATTGAGTATTTTCAGAAATTTGATGAAATTAAAGCCTGAATCTCAGGAGAGTGTGATCAAACCAGAGCAAGTACTTCCTCTCAGCTTACAATATCTAATTTTAAAATTATTGCAATATGGAGAAGCATGCAGTTGGAGGCAGTAGCAAAAGAGAGAGATCTGTGATTGTGGAGGTAAGCTGTATGTCTTGATAAATATTTTTGCATCATACATTGATGGTAAAATAGTATTGTTTTCCTACTTTAGATACCTGTTTCTGTGTAGCTTTTTCTGAAGTATGCCACTTGCTTCTTTTCTGAGTTCTTTTCAAGTAGAAGAGACTTTGATTTTTAAGTAGTTCACACACAGTTCTACTTCAGATACTACTAACAGGAAAGGTTTTGTTGTTGTTGTCATTCTAATTGATTGTGGGTTGTATTTGAGGTTGATCAGATTCATGAATTTCTCGTAGTAGTTTGTGACCTCCTTTTCTGTACTCAGGGGAAGCATCTTCCTGAAGAGTGAGGAATAACAAACTCAAAAGGTGTAGAAAACAGCGATTGTACTGGGTTTCAGGGAGCCTAATTTACATTGTACTTTTACAAGTCCTGAAGTGTCTTAAAATTTCTGAAAAACAGCATGAAATTTTGAGTCATCTCTTTTTGAAAGTAAATTTGTGGATGCTGAGCCCTCTTAAGAAGCTCACCCCAATGTGCATCTTCAGAATGGTGAACTGATGAGTTTAGAACATCTGTGTTGCACTGTCGTTCTTAGCACTTTTCTAGTTTCATAACATTTTGCATAAGCTGACATACAAACCTAAATAATAACTCTGAGTTTTTTATCAAATCCTTGTTTTCTAACATACATGGAATTTAAATTAGATTACCCAAAAATGAGGCCATTCTAAGCCCTTAAACTGTCTTCATATGTTTTTTCTGCTCTGTTCAATAGCTCTATGAGGTTTCTTTTTATTTTTAGGTTTACTGCACCGAGCCTTCAGTGTTTTCTTATTTAATACAGAAAATAAACTGTTGCTGCAGCAGAGGTCAAATGCAAAAATTACATTTCCAGGTCAGTACTGAAATACATTGTATTTATCTTAATCTTTTATTTAAATCAATATTGAAAAGAATATGCCAGTCTAATCCTGAAGTGTAACTCATTCTGAGGTTTTAGACTTTACTCCTTTGGAGAGGAGATACTTCTAGATACTTTAAAGAGTTCAAGATGTACTTATTTCACAGATGAAGTAAGATAATGGGAATGCTAGCTTATTGGTTGTCCCTGACGTGTTTGATCGTGTTTATGCAAGTGCATACTGTGTGTTGTTTACCTCCTCTGCTGCAAGACATGGTGGAGTTGAAGCAATTGCTCTGGTAGCTGTGGAGAGGGTTCTCATTCCACTGGTGAGGACACACAGGGGCTGTACAGCAGGGCCCCGCCACTTGGAAGCGGTTGCATTGTGCTTCAGTGAGATCTGCAGACTTTTATCTGTGCATGTCTTAACACCTTTTTAACTATAGAAGAAATGAGACACTGTGGCCAAACTATATAGTGCATGATTTTTGAAGACTCCTGAACTATTGCTAACAAACGCAAACGGAGAGGCATAAAAATAAGAAGTGGAATGAAAGCAAGCTAGCTTACACAGGACGTGTTGGAGGAAACATGTCTGCTTCAGACGTGTGGATGGAAAACAAATTCAAGTGTTTCTAACCCTCTTCAACTTGAGGAATAAAGACCTTTTTTTCCTTCCAAAGAAATCTTTACTTTAGAGATTGTTTTTTAATCTTTTCCTTGACTACTAACTAACCAAAATGCTCCAGTGTAGTTTGTAGGTAATCTGACTCTACTTTAGATGATTTTGAGCTAGACTTTTACACATAAAAGGTTGGCCAATCACATTTATTCTACATAACTGAGAAGTAATTATTAATATATTTTAAACAGAGTATAGAGGGTCTGTCCCTTAAAAACAAGCATAAACCTTTTATTTACTTCTACTTACTGTCAGCTGGTCTTGAAGCTCTGGGAATGTTTCCAATATTCTGTTGCATATAAACTCCCAAAAGTAATTGTAATTCGTGTTTGCAGGCTAAACAAGGACTTCATAAACTGGGTCTCTAAGTAGACGTTATCTTGGGTATGAGAGTGCATGTCTTAATGTGTATCAAACACTAAACTGCAAAGTAGAACTCAGTAGAGGCAAATCCTGGTGCAAAATATGTAAAGAAAAATAAGAGGTGAAAATCTCCTTCCTTTCTGACCCTTCTTTGCAAAAGAGAAACAAAGCTGTGATGTGTTCATAACTGTCCTATGTCTCTGGGGGTTTTTTGGTGTTTTGTTTTGTTTTGTGTTTTTTTCCCCAAATACTTTATACGTGTCAAAAATGTACTGATACAAACCTCTTGCAGATTGTTTTACCAACACTTGTTGCAGTCATCCTCTAAGCCATCCACTAGAACTGGAAGAAAATAATGCCATCGGTGTTCGGCGAGCCGCACAGAGACGACTGAAGGCAGAGTTAGGAATTCCCATGGAGCAGGTAAAGGAAGGCAGGAGAAACAAACAGTAGCTCTTGCAACTGTTTGCCAGTTTACAGACTTAACTGCGTCTGGCAGACAGGGTCAGCCTGAAACCTGAACACGAATTTACTCAGGCCAACCTGAGTTGGCAACCTGAGAGGGCAGAGTGCCGTCCACGTTCTGTACGAGTGGTGCACTTGGAGAGCCTCGCTGTGAGCCGCTGGCAGCGTGCATGTACAAGTCCCTCTGCAATCCCAAGCTCCCCAGGGGAAGCGGGGTAGCCCGGGCACTCAGTGTTTCTGTCAGAACAACCACCCAGCTTGCTTCTGGTGCCTTCCTTTTTGGTGGAAATTTGGGAGAGCACAGAGAGCAGGGGTGAAGCTGGCTGCATTATGCTCATGGTGAAAATCTCTTTCCACGTTTTGTACCGGGACACAGGAGCAGCAGTGTGCTGCTGGGAAGCACGATGGTTAGGTTGTTCCCAGCATTAATTACCTGGTCTGCAACTTGCACAGATCCCTGATAGATCAGGGTTCTGTGTGGTCTGTCAGTACACAGCTCTGACCTTGGTTTTAAGTAGCTGCCTTGGGAGGTAAAAGGCAAGTGTTTGTCAGTGCTTCGGTAAGTAAGCACTAAGGTTTGGCAAACATTATTTAAAACACTCTATAGAAGAAATCCCCTCAAAGTACCATAGGGTGACTGACTAGAGAAATGCTGTGCAATTCATGTCATCAATGTGCAATAAGAAATTTTTTTCATAGTAATTGTGACAAAGTATATTGCAATTGTACACTTGGGGGGAAAACTAATTTTTAAGGAAGAGGGTAATCGCTGATAATTCTGTAATGCCTAGCAGTGCAGCTGTGGTTTGGCACCGGTTCTGACGAGTGTTTTGGTTGTAGGTAACTCCAGAAGAAATCTCCTATCTGACACGAATTCACTACAAGGCCAAGTCTGATGGGATCTGGGGTGAACATGAGATAGACTATATCCTATTTGTACAGAAGGATGTAACGCTGAATCCTGACCCTAATGAGATCCAAAGCTACTGCTACGTGACACAGAAAGAACTGAAGCAGCTCTTGGACAAAGCCTCCAAGAATGAAATCAAGATTACTCCATGGTTTAAACTCATTGCAGAGAGCTTTCTTTTTAAGTGGTGGGATAACTTATCTAACTTGAACAAATTTGTTGATCATGAAAAAATACATCGAATGTAAATGGCTGGGGTAAAAGATGCTGGAGGCTAGCAATGATGTGCCATCTCATTAACACTGTGGTCACTCATGACTTGAGTGCAGAGAATTGGTCCACCTGGAGCACATTTAACAAATAACTTTATACCGAGGTGGTTATAGCGGTTGTTTTTTCTTCTCTCTTCCCCCCAGCCTTGTTCCTTTTGGGTGAGTTAAGCTCAATCTCACATAAAAATGGGTAATGGTAACAGAAGAAATCCCCTGGGTTCATCTTTCTCCACTACTTGGTGTGATATGAAAGATCCTCGGGCTGTGTGTGCCCCGTTTGCTCTTACTTCCTTGTGTAACTGCACACGCTGGCAGGGGAGTTTGGGGGCCTCCAGCCCAGCTCAGCCGATAGAACTGGTACGTTCCCAGCTATACATGACTACGCCTTCTAAAATAGTGATTACAAAAGAATTTGAGTTCTGCATTGATGTTGAGAAGATTAGTTGCCTGAGGAAACAATTTAATTAAAAGTAATTGGAATGATTTTAATTGCAGAAAGCAAATCTCTTCAGCTACTATTATATTTAACCTATAAGTAACCACGTAAATGTTAAGCAGTGAGACTGTCGGTGTGGACTGAGTTTCACTTTGAAGTGCTGCAGTATGTGTCACAGCTTTAGATAATAAACGTTAGGGGTTTGGCTTGGGGTTTTCTCCCCACCACCCTTTTCTGGTTAGTTGATGACCAAGTACTGGACATCTCCAAGTGAAAAATAATGGGTAATAATACCAACTATAAATGGTACCTATCTAATATAGCAAGTAGCCTGTCCAGATTTGGAGACGTACATTAATGGTTCTTTATCTTCTGAAAAACAAAGGTATTTTGATACAAGGGTTTTTTCCCTGCAACATCTACTTTAATAGTTTTTTCAAAGTCCTGAAAAACTCAAACCCCTTGAACTCCAAAACTGAAGACTGACAATTTACAAGCTTACTCCAACTCTTAATTTCAGTTAATCAGAAATTCTGCCAGAGTGCAAGAGCTGAGCTTTTTTGATTTTGCTAGTAACAAGAGTCAAATGGAAGGCTTTTTTAATAAATAATAATCAAGGGTATCCCAATGTGAATTAAAGTTCTGCTTCCCCAAAGGCTTGATTTCTTCTGTTAGCAGACTACTCAACCTTGATTTCTTAAGTTATCTTCTCCCAGGTGTCTTGGTGAAATAGGATGTTTTTCATACTCCTCCTTGCATGTAAACTGCAATGGTTGTAACTAGTCTGTGTCTGGTTTCGAGGTAAAACTGAGTTTTTCCAATCTCATCCCAGTTGTGACTGCAGCACTGAAGCTTCTCTCTGCCAGCACCTCTTAGGTTCAACACTTAAAGGTTTTAGAGCCAATTTGTTGTATGTTGACCCGACCTGATGTATTGTCTTGAAGCAAATAATAGGGGGTGAGGGAATAGCGATGCAGTGTAACAGCTCTGCTGAATTCAGTGCCATCAGCCACATTACCTAAGTAACACAATAGAGTACTTTGCAAATACTTAAAATACTTTTTAAAGAAAATATTATCTTAAGATTATGATTAAAATACGTAACCTAAAACCTTTGACCGTTGTTTTCTTTCCAGACTTTGAGCTACATGGAGAATAATCTCTGACATTACTACACTGTAAACAACATACCTAGTAAACGTCACTGAAGCAGTATGATGGGGGGTAGCAGGGCATAGATTTATTTTAACAAAGTTCTACTTTTCTAGTTCAAATGGCCATCTTGGAGCAATAGCTGACAAAGCTGATTCTGAAGTAGAAATAATGTGCATAAGGATGCTGAAAGCAAAGCTTTGCTAAACGGTTCTTCAACATCCCTTAAAAAATTTAAGTTTTTCTTGACATTGAACCTCTTTGCAGCATTACGGTATGTTTTTAATACCGAGTTTATTACACAAGGTTGATACGGGAACCAATGTGGATTTGCCCGTAACGTTCCAATATGCTAAAGTTGACATCAGAACACGCTTCTTACCCTGCTGTATTTAAAAAACAGTAATTCAAGGGTTCTTCCCTTTTTTTTTGGTTTTTGGTTGGTTGTTTTTACCATGCGTATTTCATTGGATTCTCCTTTAATCTTTAAAATGGCACTTTAAGTACATTGTTCAGGCAACACATTTTTAATAATTTTACTAACCTCTAGATAATTCCTACCTTGTTCTTGACCGATTAGGGACAAAAAGGGAGTATTTCACATTTGATAATGCATTTTGCCTTCAACAGATACAGAATTTTTGTCTATCAGCTTATGAAGAGAAAATGTCTTCCTAAGCAGAGGATGACAGCAGCATAACTGACGTGCATTCAGGACAAAATTTCAGTCTGATCCTCATTTTCTACATATCGGAAATAATGAGAAGTTGCAGCCTTCCCTGCCCATGCTGCTTTAGGTTATTACAGATGGCAGGTCAGTACTAAAACTGCAATCACTCTTCCAGCTTCAGTCACCGTTCCGCGTAGTAACTGGCAGTATTTCTCCCATTCAGTCATTCCAAACTGGTTCAGCACGTGAACGCTAACTCTGCGCGATACCTGTCAGTCTCCCATTACTTCACCACCAATTTCAGCCTTCACCTGCAATACAAACTCATCACTTACTATCTATCAAAGAATTGACTTGCATACAGAAAACCGAACCTCATCAATGCAGGACCTTATGAAGCTGTGAATTTTTAATTGCGAGGGTGGCCTCATTAACAAATACTTCACATTTCAAGATTTAACCTAATTTTAAATCTAGTTTTACACAGAACTTTAAATGCCTTCTTGCTACAGGAAAGTCAGGAGTAAGAAAATGGAATTAAGTATTTTTTATGTCTGTTCAGAAATGGTTTCTGCCACTGGTATCAACATATTTCTCATGGCATTAGAACTGCAAGATCAAGGTCTTGAAACTTTCTGAGCTTCAAGTAACTACTAACACAAACCATGTACTGTTTAAACACTATGACTAAAAAGGAAGACAGGACTAGAAATTAGTTTTAATAAACTTAGTTTTAATTCAGAAGACTCCTTATCTTCTCTGTGTTTTACCAGATTTTCTCTTTCCAGCCAGCAGATGTTTTGGCTTCAAGTCAAATATGTGTCTGTCCGACTCCCCTTTCCTGCCCAGGCGATTCATTTTCTTTTGAGCTTTCTTTGCCATAGTCTTGACCTTCTTCACCATCTATTTAAAAACAAAGAAATATGCAGAGTAACTTCCTCAGTAACTCAGGTAACTAGCTTTACCTTTTAAAAAACCACTAAGCTAGGTGGTTTTAACAAGGACATTAACTAATAGCCAACATGTGCCACCATCTGCAACTTGGGAACAGCATCACTGCAAGAGACACTAAACCTCCTTGGCCAAGCTCTTCTTTCTCCAGTACACTAACAGCATGATCGTGCTATCCCTGGAATTCCTAACTCATTTCAAGGAATTCCACAGTTTGTAGAACTCTTCTTTCTTCATAAATGTAGAGACAAAAATTTGAAATATACTTTCCTAGTCTGTATTATTATGTCTTATTTGAAAGAATAAACTAGGCATTTTTGAAGTATGGAGAGTTCAAATGAACAGATGATGAAGCTGCAAAAACAAGAAAGATGATCTCTGGACAAACATAACCAGCCCAGCACGAAGTATCCCAGGAGCTGGTTTAAGTACAATCATGCTGTTTTAATAGCTATAAAGGTGAATTAACATTAACAAACCTTTTCATCACGAAGACCAGAAACATCCCGTGGTGTGCGAGAGGAGCTGCGACTGCGTGCCACGGATTTAGGGGTTTCAGACTCATCGCGTTTACGTTTCCTTGTAACACTACGGGACCTTCTCACATAATGCGCCTGAAATTCAAAACATCACTTTAATTATTAAAAACAGGAACAATCAGCTCAGACATGCTCCATTTCTAATCAGACTAATATGAAAAAAACGGACGTGATTATTCCATAGCTGACTTTGTCAACTGCTGGTCACTTCCTTTCTGTCCTACAGTACTGTTCAAATTTTGGTGAATATCAGCATGTTCTTTTCACAATTATCAACTCCAGTTCTCTTCTAAGTGGATTCGTAAGTAATGGATAAAAAGACACAAATTAATGGATAGCAATACTGCAGCAGTTTTGCAACAGCAAAAAAGCAATGAAGAAACCTACCTACAGAACCGTGTTCTGTTTACAGGACAAAGCCCTAAAGAATTTCACAATTGAAGACTTCTCCTCCTACAGCGTAAATTCCTCCTCACTGAGACTGCTCCTATTTCAACATGACATGTCAGCTCTAAGAAGCAGAAATGCTTGCTTCAGATGTGTAGTGCTGACATTCCTTGTTTCCTAACTCCTTGCCTAGTGAAAGAATTTAAGGTCTCAAGATCTAGATAGCCATAATACTGCTGGATTTGCTGTGTAAAATGGATTTTTTTTCCATTTCCAATAAAATTAAATGTCTCCTGAAGGCAAATCTATGTTTGAAGTACTTTAGGGGCCTTACATCTAAAGATGTCAGTTGCCCTCAAAGACTTCAATTCCAACTTTCAGAATTAACGAACCGTAAAAAGATAAGCCTGACCTGTCATTATTACTGTTTCTGACATAGCAGTGTCTCATTCAACAAAGCAGACTTGAAAATTAAGTATATTTAGCCAAACCCCATTCTTGAATCCTACACAAATTCCAAGAGTTCTAGTAGAAAGCGGTGCATATATTCGTGATGATAGCTTATTTTTTCAACCTACTCAACACGTTTTGATCACATCACTCAAAATTTCCAGTATCAACTGCCTCATCTGCGTTTCCTATTTTCTCCTTAATGGATCCACACCTCTCTCTTGTGCCAACTGTAATATGCATTTCAAATGTGCTCAAAGAAATGTAGCATGTAATGAAATTAATCTGTTAGATAAACATTGTATTTAATTAGCAAAAACTTACATCATCTTTATTAGTCATGTCAAGTCCAAGATCAGTCATTTCTTTCTCTAGCACCTTCCGCTGGACCTGGAAAAAGACAGTAAAGAAAACATGTTTCTTTCCAAAAAGTATGGTTCTATATTACTTTTTGTCTTAATATACTACCATAAGCCCATTATATTCACTATGTATTTACTCCTTTGGCACACCCCACAAACAGATGATGAAAGTTGTAACTTTGCATTTCATTTATGCAACTCAATTCTCTTCACCGACAAATCCTTCTCCACAGGATTGCAAAGTTGCAGGATTCCCTAAAGTTCTTTCAAATAGATTGCCTCTTTGAGGGGGAAGATGTCAAAGAGAGAAATTTCAGTCAGAAATGTTTCCTTTTCTCCCAAAAGGCACATACTTTGGGGAAGGTAAGAAATATTAGGTGTAAAATCAGTTAGGTTCCTTTCCCCAAAATGTCTAGTTATCTGGTTTATTACTTTGTAATCATCCTGGACTGGTCACAGGAGATTCTGACATTAGGAAGAGTGATACCCAGCTTCCAAAAAGAAACATACCATCTTTTCCAGCATAAGGAAGGCCCCATAAAAATGTTACATTATTGTAATTTTAAGTAATTATATAATTCTCCTAGTTTGAATTTAGATTTTAATTTAAAATAAACAAACAAACAAACAACAACAACACACGATGCAGCAACTTCATTAAATAAGCTGAATTGTAATCTTCAAAACTTTTTCTGCAATATATATATATGGAATTTTACAAAAGATTCTTGTGCCACAAAACAAAAAGGGCTACTGTCACTCACTTTGTTTGGCCTCCACAACTAAGTAGTGACCAGAACTCCTAGGAGCACAGAAGGAAGCACGCAGAGCACGGGAGAAGGCCAAACGTGACAAAAAGTGATCAGTTCCACCACCTGATACTGTTTTACATTTTCATAAAGCTATTACACATCAGCAAGATTTTACTACAGAGTATGTTCTATACTTGCCTTTTTCGCTGTTCTAGGCATCCTTGGACCTCGAGTATCTTTTTCCTTTGACTCCAGGATTTTCAGTTTCTTCTTCTCTCGGATCTGTTGGGCCAATTGTCGGATTTCCATCATTTCTTCATCTTCACTTTCTGGTTCACTGTCGTATTCTCCAGCAGCTTCTCTCAGCTCTTCCTCTTTCTCTAATTCTTCCAGTTTCTTACATTTTTGAAGAGATAAAATCAAGATGCTCATCAAATCCTTGACTTACAATCCTCAACATTGTATTTTTGCTTGGCCCAGGGCCGTGACAGCATGCAGGCCCTTCAAGGAAGAAACTACCTTACTTGATAATGACCCCTCCAGCCACATTTAAAGCAGCTGGTGATATAGATTACTGTGAACCTATGGGGCACACTACTATGTGGACTTATTTGATCACGTCGCATTACAGTTTGGCTGTAGTTGTGTGACTGCTCCAAAGCTGCCCACTGCATGAATGCAGATATACTATACCGTGAACTGTGCTAGCTGTGCTGTTTCTGGAAACACACTGAAAAAACCCTTCTCTTTCTACATTTAGTATGAGTCTGGAACACCAGCAATTCAGATGAACCCAACTGCATAACTTGCAGGCTCCACAGTCTGCACTCATTACCTCTCCTTAACAATCAG